GGACTTTATATACATTACCTTCTTTATTTTCATACTTCTTTAGGGTCGTATAGTAGGATATGCATTCAGTTAATGCAATGAAGTTCACAATAACAGTGGCTTACACAAGTTTTGGTGTTTTTCCTTTTTTTAAAACATACTTTTATTTTAAGTTCAGGAGTACATGTTCAGGTTCGTTATATAGATAAACTTGTGTCATGGGGGTTTGTTGTACCAATTTTTTCACCACCCAGGTCTTATGCCTAGTACCCATTAGTTATTTTTTCTGATCCTCTCTCTTCCCACCTTCTACCCTCCAATAGGCCCCAGTGTATGTGTTCCCCTTTATGTGTCCATGTGTTCTCATCATTTAGCTCCCACGTATAATTGAGAACATGTGGTATTTTGTTTTCTTTTCCTGCATTAGTTTGCTAAGGATAATAGCCTCAAACTCCATTTCTGTTTCTGCAAAGGACATGATCTCTTTGTATTATGGCGGCATAGTATTCCATGGTGTATATCTACCACATTTTCTTTATGCAGTCTACCATTGATGGCTGTTTAGGTTGATTCCACATGTTTGCTATTGTGAATAGTGCTGCAATGAGCATATGCATATATATGTCTTTATAGTAGAACAGTTTATATTCCTTTGGGTATTTATCCCCTAATGGGATTGCTGGGTCAAATTGTATTTCTGATTTTAGATCTTTGAGAAATCACCACACTGTTTTCTGCAGTTGAACTCATTTACACTTCTACCAACCGCATGTAAGTATTCCTTTTTCTCCACAACTTCACCAGCACCTGTTATTTTATTTTTTAATAATACCCATTCTGACTGGTGTAAGATGGTATCTCTCTGTGGTTTTGATTTGCATTTCTCTAATAATCAGTTATGTTGAGCTTTTTTTTCATGATTGTTGGCTGCATGATATTCTTTTTTGAGAAGTGTCTGTTCATGTCCATTTCCCACTTTTTAACAGGGTTGTTTTATTCTTATAAATTTGTTTAAGTTCCTTACAGATGCTGGATATTGAACCTTTGTCAGATGTGTAGTCTGCAAAAATTTTCTCCCATTCTGTAGGTTGTCTGTTTACTCTGCTGATAGTTTCTTTTGATTTGCAGAAATTTTTAAGTTTAATTAGATCCCATTTGTCAATTTTTGCTTTTGTTGCAATTGCTTTTGGCATCTTTGTAATTAAGTCTTTGCTCATGCCTGTGTTCAAAATGATATTGTCTAGTTTATCTTTCAGGATTTTTATAGTTTTGGGTTTTACATTTAAGTCTTTAATTCATCTTGAGTTGATTTTTGTATATGGTGTAAGAAAGGGGTTTAGTTTCAGCCTTCTGCGTATAGCTAGCCAGTTATCCCAGCACCATTTATTAAATAGGAAGTCCTTTCCCCTTGGCTTGTTTTTGTCAGTTTTGTCAAAGACCAGATCGTTTTAGGTGTGTGGTCTTATTTCTGGGGTTTCTATTCTGTTCCATTTGTGTGCATGTCTGTTTTTGTACCAGTACCATGCTGTTTTGGTTACAGTAGCCCTGTAGTATAGTTTGAAGTTGGGTAGCATGATGCCTCCAGCTTTTTTCTTTTTGTGTAAGATTTCTTTGGCTATTCAGGCTCTTTTGGCTCCATATGAATTTTAAAATAGCTTTTTTTTTTCTGAATCTGTGAATAATGTCATCGGTAGTTTAATAGGAATAGCATTGAATCTATAAATTGCTTTGGGCAGTATGGCCATTTTAAGGATATTGATTCTTCATATTCATGAGCATGGAATGTTTTTCCATTTGTTTATGCCATCTCTGATTTCTGTGAGTAGTGTTTCGTAGTCCTCCTTGTAGAGATCCTTCATCTTTTTGGTTAGCTAGTATTTCTAAGCATTTTATTTTGTGTGCATGTATGGTAATTGTGAGTGGAATTATATTCCTGATTTGGCTTTCAGCTTGACTGTTGTTGGCAGATAGGAGTGTTAATGATTTTTGTACATTGATTTTGTATCCTGAGACTTTGCTGAAGTTGTTTTATTAGCTTAAGGAGCTTTTGGGCCGAGACCATGGAGTTTTCTAGATATAGGATCATGTCATCTGTAGACAGGGATAGTTTGACTTCCTTTCTTCTTATTTGGATATCCTTTATTTCTTTCTTTTGCCTGTTTGTTCTGGTGAGGACTTCCAAAACTATGTTGAATAGGAGTAGTGAGAGAAGGCATCCTTGTCTTGTTCTAGTTTTCAAAGGGAATGCTTCCAGCTTTTGCCCTCAATATGATGTTGGCTATAGGTTAGTTATAGATGGCTCTTATTATTTTGAAGTATATTCCTTCAATGCCTGGTTTATTAAGAGTTTTTAACATGAAGGAGTGTTGAATTTTACTAAAAGCTTTTTCTGCATCTACTGAGATGATTATGTGGTTTTTGTCTTTAGTTCTGTTTATATGATGAATCAAATGTATTGATTTGCATGTATTGAACCAACCTTGCATCCTAGTGATAAAGCCTACTTGTTGGTGTTGCATAAAGTTTTTGATGTGCTGTTGAATTCAATTTGCCAATATTTTGCTGAGGATTTTTACATTTATGTTTATTAAGAATATTGGTCTGAAGTTTTTTGGTGGTTGTTGTGCTTCTGCCAGATTTTGGTAGCAGGATGATGCTGGCCTCATAGAATGAGTTAGGGAGGATTCCTTCTTCCTTATTATTATTTTAAAAAAATAGCTTCAGTAGGAATGGTACCAGCTCTTCCTTGTGCTTCTGTTACAGCTCAGTTGTGAATCCATCTGGTTCTGGGCTTTTCTTGGTTAGTAGGCTATTTATTACTGATCGAATTTCAGAGCTCATTATTAGTCTGGTCAGGGATTTAATTTCTTCCTGGTTCAGTCTAGGGAGTCCAGAAATTTATTTCTTCTAGATTTTCTAGTTTATATGCATAGAGGTGTTCATAATGTTCTCTGATGGTTGTTTGTATTTCTGTGGGATCTGTAGTAATATCCTTCTTGCTGTTTCTGATTGTGTTTATTTGGATTTTATCTCTTTTATTCTTTATTAGTCTAGCTAGCATTCTAGCTATTTTATTAATGTTTTCAAAAAACCAGCTTCTGGATTCATTGATCTTTTGAATGGTTTCTTGTGTCTCAGTCTCCCTCAGTTCAGCTCTGATTTTGATTATTTCTTGTCTTCTTTCCATTTTATTACTTTGTAATCCCTAAGCTGTTGTTCTAAGCTGGATGGTCCAAGATGACTTGATATCACTTCCATGTTCCAGGAACTTGCAGGAAGAAAAAGTCCACATACATGTAGTTAGATATGCCATTTCTGTTTCTATGCCTTTTGCCATAGAGAGAGTTAGCTATGTCACTTCTGTTTCTATGCCTTTTGCTGCATGAGGCTGCAAGAGAGGCTGGGAAATGATGTTCTTGGCTGGGAGTCAAGTTTCAAGGTGAAGTTGGAAGGTTTCTATTATAAAAGAAGAGAATGTATATTGGGGTCAACTAGCAGGCCCTATCCAAGGCATATTTTATTATTATCCTCATCTTATAGGTGAGGGAATCAAGGTTATAGCTTGGCTAAGGTAAAGCACAAATGCATGGTATGATGAGAGATTTAAAGGAGGACTTGTTTGCCTCTGTGGTATATGCATTTTACTCTTCTGCTGTATGGCTCTCTCTTGGTTATAGGTGATGTCACCTGATAAAAGGACAGGGCATTGTGAAGGAATGTCAGCATGACATCCGGTGTGGTTGCATGATGTCATCAGAAATGGAACTCTAGAGCTTGACCAGACATGCAAGGTCAGCAAACCCATAGATTGGGAGAGAAGATGCAGGAAAGAAGATGAATGCACAGGAATGGGAAGAGA